TTTAGAGGCGGGGATTTTGGAGGATGGCTCGGCCCCGGAGCCTAGTGGTGCGGTTCCCGGGGCGGGGAAGGGGATACTTGGGGGCCTTGGGGCCTGATGGATCCTGCCTGAGTTTTTGTTCCCTCAGGGCAGGGACTTGGCATCTACCCCTCCCGGGTTTTGTTCCATGATTCTGTGGGTTCCTTGGGCCCGACCTTCTGGAGGTTTTCAGCTTCCTGTATCCTTTCTCATGTGGTGCAGGAGGCCCTTGCGGCTTACCTCCTGCGCAACCCGGATTATGCTTTCGTGATGAATCCGTGTTCCTGCGTGTATGGATCTTCGTGTCTGTACATGGTTCATTACGAGGTTCCAGAGTCATCCTGGTTGGCAGACTGCCCGCTCTTTCATTGCAAGCTTTGCACATGTTTTGTCGGTCCTGCTCACTTGAGTATAGGGAGGCTCAGACGGCATTCCAGGTTTTCCTGTGGTGGCAACTTTGAGCATCTCAATGCATGTTTGTTTGCCCCTGCTCTTCAAATCTCTAAAGATTTGCGTATTCGAGGGGCCTGTTGTCTTCGCCCCTGCGTTTCTTCTCCCTCTTCAAGCTGTCTTTGGATTGGCTTCCCCCACATCCAATGACAGTTGGATGTGGGGAAGCTTGGGGCCGCCTCTGAGTCTAGGGCGTTGCCCTCAGCGGTGCATTACATCATCTGCATTGTTGAAACTCTTCGCGCCGCTCCTGCGGGATGCGGTCTCGCAGTGTTTTGCTTCTTGCCACACATATTGGCAGGCAGTGCTGGCTTCTTCTTTGGAATCCACTTGGGCCTTGGCTCTTAGGTTGTCTTCGCCTTTTTGTCCATTCCTTTTTGCAGAGTCTGCAGTTGTGCAGTATCTGCAGGCGGCTTCAATTAGTTGTCTTCCTATGTTGGACTTGTTGGTCGTCCGGAGGGCTCATGGGGAGGCCTTCCCGGAAGGGTCGTGACAGGGCTTGGGGTTCTTCCCGTCGTGGTAGGCCAGGGGCGCCAGATTCGGGACAGGCACAATCTTCAGTTCCATTTTTTTTTAGTCGGCAAGAGGATCACCCTGTGCATCGTTTTGGTTCTCAAAAGGTGTCAGGCCTTTTGTGGTTCATCCCATTGATGGGGCGATAGGGGGAGGCTCGCTCTGTTTGCTCGCCCCTGGTCCCACGATTTGTGGGCTTTTTGGGTAAATTTGTGCGGCCTGCAGTATCATTGGGTGGCTCCTCCTCCTTCAAGAGGTTCAGGGTTGGTGGGGCAAGCCTCTTCTCCTGCGCTGTCGAGTTGTCTCGGAGTGACTTCGCTTGGGCGTTGTTGTAACGACTTCATCTCTCAGATGAGTCTCTCGCCTGTTTCCAGTCCCGAAATGGGACTGCACGGATCTCAGGATCATTCTGGACTTGTCTTGTCTGAACCTATGGGTTTATTACCCCTTCTTTTGGATGACTACTCTGTCCAAGGTCTGTCTTGTGTTGGAGCCGTACTTTTGGATGGTGTCCCTGGACCTCACGAACGCGTATTGGCACGTTCCGATTCATCCGAGGTTCAGAGACTGGCTCGGTTTTGTAGTGGGGCATCTCAGTTACCGCTTTCGTTGTCTCCCATTCAGGTTGAACGAGAGATAACCATTCACCTCCTCTTGTGTTCACACGCCTTACCCGAGTTGTAGTGGCCCATTTGCTTCTTTTAGGTGTTCAGGTGTTGGCCTACCTCGGCGACTGGCTGGTATGGGCTCCCAGACTGTCTGCATGTCTGCTTGCCAGGGATTTGGTTCTTTCCCAGCTTGCCGGGTTCGGGTTCCTGGTGAACTGGTGGAAGTCCCATCTAGTCCCCTCCCAGGTTCAGACCTGGCTAGGTCTTGTGTGGGACTCTCAGACCGCTTCCTTGTCTCTCCCTCTGGTATCTCTCCTTTGGCTGCAGTCCCACATGTGCTTGTTTCAGGGGAGCTCCCAGGTCACACAGCAGTTTCTCGAGGGTTTCTGTGGGAGCCTGAACTATGCGATGATCCAAACCGGCCGGATCGGGTTTGGCTTCATCAACTGTTCTGGTTCCTTCGGGGATGTCCCTTCCGCCTCTCTCGCATTCGCTAGGTTCAATCCCTGGAGGACTTGTGTCGGCTGCTGCGTCACTGGCTTCCTCTTCGGGCTTTTTGGACCCGAGCCCTCACTCGATGTGTTCACGGACGCCTCATCTCTGGGCTGGGGTTTTGTGACAAGTGCTCACGAGGCCAGCCAGGGGCAGTGTGGTCTGTCCTTCTGTCGGGCCCACCGCATGAAGCGGGAGTTTATGGTGGTGTGGTATTCGCTTCGGAGGGTCCGGATCGCCTGAAGATCAATGATTCGGCTCCATTCGGACTGCTCCCAGGTGATTCATTGCGTGAACCGAGGGGGTTCGATGCGGTCCTTGGCTCTTTGGGGCTGGTCGATTTGGGTGACTCGTCTGCCGAGTTCTCGGGGGTTTGGCTCTCCTGGACGTTAACATCCGGGGGGTGTCCAACCTCCTGGTGGATGGCCTGTCCTGGTTTAGTTCCCTGTTCACGGAATGGACAGTCGATGCAGACTCATTCAGTTGGATTTGCCAGATATTTGGGCACCCAAAGGTGGACCTCTTTACATCGGCATGGTTGAGGTGTCTTCCAATATATGTGTGGTGCTCCTCCCCGACTGTGAGGCAGTTGGGATCGATTCCTTCTGGCTGTACTGATCGAGGTGGGGGTTCCTGTATCTCTTCCTCTTGGTTCCACTATTGCTCCAGGTCCTAGCTCACTTGGAGACTTACCAGGGGGAGAGTTGTCCTCTTAACCCTATGGTAGCCAGCCCAGCCTTGGTTTCAGGTGCTGCTTGCTCGGTATCCGAACCTGTTATGAGACTGGTTCGATCTTCTCCTCGAGTCTTTGCATCTAGTTTTTTTGACTCAAGTCTATCACCATCTGAATGATGATCAGGTGGCTTCTTTGATGGTGTCCCACCTGCAGGCTTTGTCTCGGTGGCAGTATGAAGTTTCCTGGTGGTCCTTCCGGTTCTTTTTGTCTCTTCATCATTATACTTCGCTTTCGATTTAGGTTGTTTTGTCCTTTCATGGTTGTTTCAGGACCATCATCTTATGCCGAATACTGTCGCCTCGTATCGTACGGTGTTGGCGAAGCCACTGCAGCTTGCATTTGGTATTGATATTACTTCTGGTCCATTTCGCAAGCTGTCTCATGCGTTGTTTCACCTCCGGCCTGCTCATGCACCGCTTGAGCCATATTGGTTTTTGGATTGGGTTCTCTGTTACCTCTCTTCTCCTTGGTTTGTGGTGGCCTCTTCGGTTCAGGATTGTTTTTCCAAAGCTCTTTTCTTGATGTCATTGGCCCCTGGGGGTCGGGTCGAGGAGCTTCATGCTCTTCTCCTGCACAGGGGTCTCTGCTCTTTTGGTCAAGATGACAGGTTTGTTTGGTTGCAGCCATATCCTTTTTTTCTGGCGAAGAATGAGACCGCTACATTCCAGAGGGGTCCTTGGGTTGTTGATGCTTGGTTGGTCGGGCCGAGGGTGCATCATGTGTTGTGTCCGGTTGCAGCTCTCTACCGTTATTTGCGCGCCACGGCCTCTGTGACCAGGGACGCACTTTGGTTTGATCCGGTTTCCCTTCATCCCTGTTCCAGGGGTTCAGGTCTCTCACATTGTCCCGCAAGGGTATTTGGTCCAGCCAGCCTGCAGTCAATCCTCATGCCCATGACGTTCATAAGTTTGTTGTGTTTGCTGCCGTCTTCGGTAACATGTTTTGGGCTGACATTCGGGTGCTGGGTTTATGGCGGTCGAACAGGGTCCTGGCTGCACGCTACCTCATAAATGTTCTTGGGCCTAGTCGAGCCTGTGTCGCTTTGGATTGGATGTTGCTGCCTGTTGTCTCAACTTCAAGTTGAGGATTGAGTGCTGACTGCCTCCATGGGTAAGTTCATCTTCTTTTCATCTTTTGTGATGTAGTTCCAGGGAGCCAAAGGGGCTTTTCCTAGAAAACCAGGGTTGAATGTAATGTTTTCTGGGTGAGACCCAGAGGTTCCTTGTCAACCCTCCCTCCCCCCAGTCGGCAGTTCTTTCACATGTTTTGACATCCAGCCTTGAACTGACAGGTGGATAGCTGACACAAAGGGTCTGGGGCTCCCCCTTCCCCCTTCCAGGGAGGGGGGGAGTTGCGCAAACAAGCAACACGACAAGTGTGACATCATGCTCATTTTCTCGTTTTTCAATTAAAGAGTTCTGTCCCCTCATTAGCTTTCTGTAGTAGTTTTACCCAGAATAGGGGTTTGTTTTGAGGCACGTACCTTTCTGGGTGCCCGGGCTCGGTCAATGGCAGACATAGAATGTCTGCCATTGCCAAGTCTGCCATGTTTATTTATTTATTTATATATATACAAGAAGGTACATTGGGATTGTGAGGATACATAGCATAGTAATTACATTCTTACAATGGAGCTGAGTGTTGTCTGAAAGCAGAGTTTGTTATTATTCTGATAGCAGATTTTTGTTGGGTGATGATGGGCTTAAGGTGGTTTGCAGTGGTAGACCCCCATGCATAAATACCATAATTTAGATAGGGATAGATTAGTGCATAATATAGAGAGATGAGAGCAGAGTTAGGAACATAATATCTTATTTTGGAGAATATTCCAACTGTTTTAGAGACTTTCTTAGTTATGTGTTGAATGTGGGTGCTGAAGTCGAGTCTCTTGTCTAGGAATAGGCCAAGAAACTTTCCATCATTTTTATTACTGATGTTAATGTTGTCTATCTATAGCTGAATTGCATTGAGTCTGAATGTTATTCACCTGAATAAATATAAAGAGATAATTACATAATGAAGAAGAAATTCTGTAGAGGTTTACTAATAATGTATGTAGCAAAACAAGAATTTTTGTTTGTTGTTGATCTGCATGTGGTTAAAAATATATAATAATAATAATAATAATAATAATAATAATAATAATAATAATAATAATTAAAATTATTGTTTTCATTTTATAGATTGTGTTTGGCTTCAGTACTGGAAGTGGAGCTGCACTGATGCGGTCTGAACAGTCTTATAACGATGGTGAATGGCATAGAGCAATTGTGGAACGACAGGAAGATTATGGAGCACTGCTAATTGATGGTTTCCAGGTTTCAAATGGCACTAGCAGAGGAGACTCCAAATACATTGACTTGAAGGTTTGAAGATTTTCTTTTTATGAAAGATTATAATGTACTATACTACCAAACCGATATTAGTCTGAACTCGTGATAAATATTTTGTTTCTAATATTAACTTAATCCCTACATTTCACTAAATATCAATAGTTTGAGGATTTCTGAGCTCGTACATTGAGCTGCTCATTCAAATAAATTCCAGCTATATTCTTAGAAATCAGGCATTGCAATTAGGCAGGGGTAACATTCAATACAGCACTACATGGAGTTTTCAGATATTTCTGTAGGGTCATAGTGTGCCGAAGGAGTCACTAGAAAATTAACCCTTGAGCGACGGCTATGGAAAAATTGTCATACCCGCCTAAAGACTTCTTGTGTTATCATCCAACGTTGCATCACTTGTTTCTCTTTATTTACAAGAGTATGTTTGTTGAATAACTTGATAAATCACATGATTAACATAACACATGATAATGTTGCAATTGATGATTGGTTTACTTGGTATACTCCATTACAACCCGTATAGAGTAGTGAAACGAATGTGAACATAATATTCAATGGTGTTTGGCTCTGGGTAATAACATATGGCTAATTGGTACCATACGGGGGAGAATATAGATTGAAACAAAAACATAAGCCACCAATGTGCATTCACACATGATAATTTTCATATAACAATAATTTCATTCACCTAGTATCTAATGAATAATAGGTTTTATTAGTTACTAATGAGAGCAGGATTTTTTGAAGAGTCAAGATAAATTCCATTACATCCACATAGACCTATTATATCCTTATTTGCATAATATTTTTCTGGGTTTTACATGTACAGTGGCACCTTGTTTACGAATTTAATCCATTCCAAGATATGGTTCGTACACCAAAAAAAAAAAAAAATTCCATAAGAAATAATGTAAATTGAATTAATCCGTTCCACACACCACCAAAAATATTACCTTAAAATACATTTTTTTTATACAGAATACTTCTCATATTTTTCATACACAAAACAATCGGATATAAATATAAACCATAAATAAAATAAGTGAACGTTTAACTGCACTTTACCCTTACTGACGACTCTTGTTGGGGTATGGGAGATGGTGAGGAGGGAGGAGAGGGGAGGAGGAGGAGAGGTATTGGTGTATGAGCGCCTGTGGACAGCGCTACAGATTCTTAGTCCTGAATTCCGGGTTCGATCCCGGTGGAGGAGGAGACAAATGGGCAAAATTTTTCTTTCACCCTGATGCTCCTGTTACCTAGCAGTAAATAGGTACCTGGGAGTTAGACAGCTGCTTCCCCAGGGGTGTGTAACAAAAAGGAGGTTTGGTCGAGGACCGGACCGCGGGGACGCTAAGCCACGAAATCATCTGAAGATAACCTCAAGAAGATTGCGAAGGTCAGATTCAGATTCAGATTCAGATTCAGATGTTTATTCAGGTAAGGTATATACATACAAGTGATGTTACATTAATGGATTGATATATAGATAGAGCTAGTACATACAATGCCTAAAGCCACTATTACGCAATGCGTTTCGGGCAAGAAAAACATTAATATCTAGAACTTAATACTAATTGAGCATAAAGAATAAAAAGTGTTGAGAACAAATACAAATAAAGATAAAAAAAAAGGGGGAACATGACTGAAAAAGCAGCACAAATACAATAGGTTGACAAACAGTGTTGATTAAAAAAAAAGAAAATAACGGACATGGGTTGACAATAGAGGAGTGAGGTAGGTTACAGGGAATTTATTAGGTAGTGTTTAGTTTTTATCTTAAACTGGTTGAGAGAGGTACTGTCTTTAACATGGTTGGGAAGGTCATTCCACATTCTGGGCCCCTTGATTTGTAGAGCATTTCTGGTTTGATTAAGTCGTACTCTAGGAATATCGAAACTGTATTTATTTCTGGTGTGGTGCTCATGGGTTCTGTTACAACCTTCTATGAAGCTTTTGAGATCAGGATTGGCATTACAATTTAGCGTTTTGTATATGTATAGTACACATGAGAGAATGTGCAGTGACTTAATGTCTAACATATTCAGGGATTTGAATAGGGGTACCGAGTGATGTCTGGGGCCAGAATTGGATATTGTCCTAATAGCAGCTTTGTGTTGAGTAATTAGAGGACGTAAATGATTTTGGGTAGTAGAGCCCCAAGCACAAATACCATAGTTGAGATATGGATAGATAAGGGAGTAAGGGAGTAAGTAAGTAAGGGAGTAAGGTGAGGATGGGAGGGGAAGGAGGAGGAGGAGAGGTATTGGTATATAGTGAGGGTGAGGATAGGGGGGGAAGGAAGAGGGGTATTGGTGTATGACGAGGGTGAGGAGGGGGGGGAGGAAGAGAGGTATTGGTGTATGGTGAGGGTGAGGGGGGGGGGAGGAGGAGAGGTATTGGTGTATGGTGAGGGTGAGGGGGGGGGGGAGGAGGAGGAGAGGTATTGGTGTATGGTGAGGGTGAGGAGGGGGAGGAGGAGGAGGAGGAGAGGTATTGGTGTATGGTGAGGAGTGAGGAGGGGGGAGGAGGAGGAGGAGGAGAGGTATTGGTGTATGGTGAGGGTGAGGAGGAGGAGGAGAGGTATTGGTGTATGGTGAGGGGTGAGGAGGGGGTGTAGGAGGAGGAGGAGGAGGAAGAGGAGAGGTATTGGTGACCCCCTGCCCTGGTGACTCTCTATTACTCCCTTATCTATCCTTATCTCAACTATGGTATTTGTGCTTGGGGTTCTACTACCCAAAATCACTTACGTCCTCTAATTACCCAACACAAAGCCGCTATTAGAACAATATCCAACTCTGGCCCCAGACATCACTCGGTACCCCTACTCAAATCTCTTAATATGTTAGATATTAAGTCACTGCACATTCTCTCATGTGTATTATACATATATAAAACGCTAAACTATAATGCCAATCCTGATCTTAAAAGCTTCATAGTAGGTTGTAACAGAACCCATGAGCACCACACCAGAAATAAATACAGTTTTGATATTCCTAGAGTACGTCTTAATCAAACTAGAAATGCTCTGCAAATCAAGGGGCCCAGAATGTGGAATGACCTTCCCAACCATGTTAAAGACTGTACCTCTCTCAACCAGTTTAAGATAAAAACTAAACACTACCTAATAAATTCCCTGTAATCTACCTCACTCCTCTATTGTCAACCCATGTCTGTTATTTTTTTTTTTTTTTTTTTAATCAACACTGTTTGTCAACCTATTGTATTTGTGCTGCTTTTTCAGTCATGTTTCCCCCTTTTTTTTTATCTTTATTTGTATTTGTTCTCAACATCTTTTATTCTTTATGCTCAATTAGTATTAAGTTCTAGATATTAATGTTTTTCTTGCCCGAAACGCATTGCGTAATAGTGGCTTTAGGCATTGTATGTACTAGCTCTATCTATATATCAATCCATTAATGTAACATCACTTGTATGTATATACCTTACCTGAATAAACATCTGAATCTGAATCTGAATCTGGTGTATGGTGAGGGGTGGGGAGGAGGAGGAGAGGTATTGGTTTATGGTGAGAGTGAGGAGGAAGGGGGGGGAGGAGGAGAGGTATATGTGTATGGTGAGGGGTGGGGAAGGGGGGAGGACGAGGAGAGGTATTGGTGTATGGTGAGGGTAAGGAGTAGAGGGGGGGAGGAGGAGGAGAGGTGTTTGTTGTATAGCGAATACAAACAATATACTCATTCTAACTTCTCATTAGCTTAATGGCGTTACTAATTAGCACTAATTGCAGAAGCTATAATCTCTAACCTAATTACAGGTAACAGTTCTTCCAGCCTCCTATCCTAGTGGAGGAAGCTGAGCTGTAGTCACCGAATATAAGCAAGCATAAAGTGAATAGCCAGCAATACATTTTCACAGTCAAGAATGTAGTACTTGGCGTATGCAGTTCTAATCGACCCCAGGCAGTCATAACCAAAGGCATTCAAGCATTCACAGTTGTGATAGCTACTAGTTAGGCATTTACTGTCAATCAGGCATTTACAGTCAATCAGCCATTTGCAGTCAATCAGGCTTTCACAGTCACAACCAGTCAGTAAACAATAAGAGTTTATTGTCAGGTGCTCAGGCAAACTGCTTCTTGATCCACTATCTAGTAGCAAGAAAGTCCAGACATGGCTGTGAAGGTTCAGCTAATGGGGTCCAGTGTATTCACCTAGTTGTGCTTGTGGGGGTTGAGTTCTGGCTCTTTCGGTCCGCCTCTCAACTGTCAATCAATCAATTTTTTTTCACACGCACACACACACACACCCCAAGAAGTAGCCCTTAGCAGGGAGGGGTCCGGTTTGGGGGATGGGGGGACTTGGGGAGGGACCGAGGGTGACCAGCTCCTCTGTTATTCCTAGTCAGAAGCTCGCCCACTGCAGCAACCCAGCTCACACCACCACCAGCCTGCCCACTGCTAAATTCACTCACTCTGTTACCCGTTCTGCTACTCACCTATCCACCAACTGTCTCTTGGCCACCCTGTTACTCACCTGCCCACCTACTGTCTCCTGACCACCTTGTTACTCACCAACTGTCTCCTGACTGCCCTGTTACTCACCTGCCCACCCACTGTCTCCTGACCACCCTGCTGCTCACCTGCCCACCCACTGCCTTCTGACCACCCTGCTACTCACCTGTCCACCCACTGTCTCCTGACCACCCTGCTACTCATCTTCCCCATCCACTGTCTCCTGACCACCCTGCTACTCACCTGTCCACCCACTGTCTCCTGACCACCCTGCTACTCATCTTCCCCATCCACTGTCTCCTGTCCACCCACTGTCTCCTGACCACCCTGCTACTCACCTGCCCACCCACTGTCTCCTGACCACCCTGCTACTCACCTGCCCACCCACTGTCTCCTGACCACCCTGCTACTCACCTGTCCACCCACTGTCTCCTGACCACCCTGCTACTCATCTTCCCCACCCACTGTCTCCTGACCACCCTGCTACTCACCTGCCCACCCACTGTCTCCTGACCACCCTGCTACTCACCTGCCCACCCACTGTCTCTTG